TGGTGGCATTTGCATTACAGACTTGAGTCCAATCAACTCCTCTACATCGGACTTCGCGATATTGATGCTCCAGAGCTGTAGGTTATGCCTTCATGTTCCCCAAGGTGTTGTGCCAGTGCACTCACAACTCACTGGTTGTTGTTGTTGTAGGAAGTTCATAAAGGAGCTCAATATTCCGTACTTCACAATGCACGACGTGAGGAGGTTGGGCATTGGGAGTGTCATGGAGACCACTCTCAGAACGATAGGGCGATTTTGGTGAGCAGTCTTCCTAACCATGCATTTGTGGCAAGATCAAATGTGATCACATGTGTCACGTGAATACGGTTGGCATTGCAGTCCCAATTGTCAAATCCACCTCAGCTTCGACATTGACGGCATCGATCCCAAGTACGCCCCCAGCACAGGCACCCCAGTGCCCGGTGGTCTGTCTCTGGAGGAGGCCAAGTACATTTGCAAGACTCTTGGCCAAACAGGTAGGCTCACATCTGATGCACTTTGCTCGTGTTTGGACCGTGTCGGCAGTAATGGCCTCGAATTGGTTTGGCCGAGTTTGCGGGAGCCGTTCCCTGCAATCATAGTGGAAACCAAGCTTTTGCATATTTAAGCATGGTGGTTCCCAATGACCGCCATTGCCTTTGGTGCCAACAGTCAGCATATAGGTACCCTTAATTTGGAATAGCTGCGTTCACGCACATAAGGCTGGATGAGGGTGTGGTTTTAGGGTGGACTCGTTATCGATGAGCCTGAAATTGTGCAGCATAGCGGACTCTCCGCTTGTCGAGGTGTCCTCTGACCTGTCCAAAGTGGCAGATGTAGAGATTGGAGGTCTACAGGGTCTCCGCATTCCTTCCTTCAGTCAACGTTGGCCAATAATTCCTTCTACTGGCCATTTAGGTCGCCTGAAATCGATGGTGGTGGCCGAAGTCAACGCATCTCTCGGCTCTGTGGAGGAAGCAAAGACCACTTTGCGTGCTGCCCTCGAGATCATCAAAAGTGCTTTGCTCGTGGATTAGAC